ATGAGATCTTGGGAGTGAAAAGGTTATTAAATCTGTCACAACCATCTTATGTATTGATTCCTGTTAGCATTGAGCACTTCAAGTCCAACTGATAACTTCATCAAGTGTCCACCTGAAGCTCTCCTATGGTCAAAACGAAAGCTACGAACACTGCAAGGAATTTTGATGTACGATCCAGACATCATAGCTCTAGAGGAAGTTGACCATTTTCAAGATTTTTTCTTGCCTTCACTTCAAAAACTTGGATACGAAGGACTGTTTGTGGCTAAAAGGGATTCTCCCTGCCTCAAGTTTGCAAATAACTCAGGACCAGATGGCTGCGCTTTGTTTTATGATCGAGAGAGATTCTCTCTTAAGAATCACAGAGATGTCTCACTTAAGGATTCTAATGGAGAAATCACCAATCAAGTTGCATTGATTTTGAACTTATTTGATAAAATTCAAGGCAAAACTCTTTGTGTTGCAGTCACTCATTTGAAAGCCAAAGAGGGTTATGAAGATTTGCGACTGAGCCAAGGAAAAAGTCTTTTGCAATCAGTTTCTGAATGTGTTAGTGAGGATAAGGCTGCAATAGTTCTTGGAGATTTTAATGCAGAGCCATCAGAGCCAGTCTGTGAACTGATGGAGGACAATCAATACTTGAGCCTGAAAAATGCGTATGTTACTGCCACAGGCAGGAACCCTGAGTCCACAACATGGAAGATTCGCCCAGGTAAAGAAGTGAAACATTCTATTGACTATGTATGGTACTCTGACAACCTTAATGTTACAGGATGTCTAGAATTTCCAGAAAGTGATAGCATTCCTGAGGAACGCTGTCCTAGTTTACATTATCCATCTGATCATTTTTCTTTAGTGTTCGACTTTTGCTGGGGATGAAATTTCACATAATTTATAATTACATGATATTGTAAATTTTGTAGTTGATTGAGTTGTAAAGATAATGGTGACATGATGTTAGCATTTCATTCTTGGGTAAAGAACTTGCCTAAACAAACACTTTAGCATAGTTTGAATCACTGTGTAACTTAATGAATGGTGACAGTTACCAAAGAAATACCACTACACACAGCAAACATTCAGTGATACTAATGTTTGAGACAACATTGAAATGTTGAATCATTTTAGTTGAATTATTTATGTTCTTAATCGCAGATTTTAATGTTAGACCCAAGACAAAGGAAATTCATAATTATCAAGGTGGTTTAAGAAGAACTTGAACCACAAGGGAGAATTTGAACAAAACATACCACCTATATAGGGTTAATGTTAAATCTCTCATTTGGTTATGGAAGGTTACTTTTTTCATTTTGCTTCATATTTAGATAAACCCCCACCAAACACTACAAACATATTTTAAAGGAGAATAAAGAGGACCAAGTGTAACTGAAATTTTATGATAGCTAGATGCCTTTTGAAAATGAGCTTCAGTTTTTTTCACATTCACTATCACATCTTCAAGACAAGGATGGGGGTTAAACATACCCAATAACGTAATCCCCATAGCCACGCCCATTTAAGGGAAGATGATGGTACAAAGGAAAAATAAAGGACGAATTGGTGCCATTGAGAGCGAGGTTAGTGTGTTTCATTTCATAAAATGCTAATCGAAAAGCGGAAAGGAATACTATGCAATTATTTAAGAGGACTGAAGTAAAATTCATCTTAAAAAGTAATGTTAATAATTCTGTTCATGGCTGTAGCTGATATTTTGAAAACTTGTAAATGACAGTTCAATGCAATAATTATTATTAGATTTACTAAAATAAGTGACAGGAGGTTTTACAGATGGTTTTCAGTTAGCCGATATTTGATAATGAAAGCAAAAGAAGAGCCAGGGATATGGTTTCATTAAAGATGCTCATTTCTTATTATTATTATTTTTTTAATTTTGTCATCGCGTAAATGAACTATTATGGAATACATGCTGAAAATTCCTTTATTTTGTATACGGATGTTTTTATGCTAACCAGAACTAAGCAATTTCTCAGGCACAAACAGAGATAAAGAACGTCTTCGAATATCTAGACGCATAACACCCGACCGCCTTTTCCCTGGCTGAAAACCACGCTCATCCACAATGCAGTAACTACTGCATCGTTTGCGTCATTACTTGCGTAAAAATTTTCGAATTACTCTTTTTCTTAATTTCGAGGATAACTTTTTACTACAACGTAACTTGTGGTCTGTAACTGACTGTAATCAAATATGGATTAAGGAATTCCAATTTGTCCTTTATTTGACCTATTCCCATCGGTAAAATATTCAGAAAAATGGATTTTAACTAGTTTCACAAATGTCATCATCATCATCATCATCATCATCATCATCATCATAGTTTATTTAATAAAGCAGGTTGAGGGATAGGCAAGACATTACGTCCTGATGTAGACCTGCATCAATTAAACTATCAATTAATATATACCTAATTAGTGAATAGACCGAAAATGGTATGTAAATAATGACAATTAAAAGAAATAAATATTAATAACAATACGGAGTAAATGTTAAA